ATCTCTTTAAAAAACATTCTCAGATTCACTGTTTAAAATAGACGTTCTAGGTAACATGGCTGCAGTATTGCAAATTGATACTCAAATAGGAAAACAACTATCTTAATTGATCCAAAACTAGGTTCTCCATTGGGCATTTAGAACTACATCTTTGACCGGGTATGAAGAGGCAGATGAATGGTTAGAGGGTTAAATTGAACAGCCGTGAGCTACTCTTTAGATTTTTCCTTCGAATTTACAACAGAGGAGTGTAAATTTTTAGTCACAATGATTATTTTCTGGGTCTTGTTTATAAACGCTGTAATTTCGTGATGGTCAAAACATTTGCAATTTTTTCAAATAGTATCTAAATAATGGCTGGAGTAGACAGCATGGATGATTTAAAAATTGGGTTCAAATTACCGACCGTTTGCTTCATTAATTATTTCCGACTTACATCTTAATTAACAAGTTCTATTCTCATCTTCTGTTAACCGTAGACATATATTCACCACATAGTTTTTTTATTAGAATGTAAATTAGGGTGAGACTATAATTTACAGACATTTGTGTGACGCTAAAGTGGCCTTGAGAATGTCCACCTACTTACTAAGGCTAAATGAAGTTAATAAATCTATGTGAAGAGTAAGAACTATGATTTACAGTTGGTAGTTAGGGATTAGATTTAGAGTTTTCATCACGAACTGACATAAGCTAAAATGCCAAAACTCTATTTAACCAAATGAAAAAATGAATTCCACGCCAAAATCCAAGACCTGTTATCGTAAATCTGATTGATTAGTTCATAAATTGTAGTATCGCCGTAAGTTAGATAAGTTGCCGAGAAGATCACCACCCTATAAAAGCTCAATCATATTGGTTCCCTAAGAGACTTAATTAGCATTGCCCACTACATCAGTCAATACAAAATAGTCATTAGAAAAGGTCAAACACCACGGGGGAAAATACTACTTTGTTTTGACAAAGTGTAATACTGACGTCTACAGAATGAAATTTTCTGATTCACGTCTGGTGCTTATTTGTATACCTATAGTACTTCACTTCATGTTTCAGTGACATTTTCACTAAAATAGTACTGATATCATCACTTTTCAGGGTTTACAGATCCCATGGCATTTTTTCACACAAAATTATCATATCGATTTGTGTGGTTTACTTGCTTTGATACTCTAAAGAGTACCAACATTAAATGTTATAAAATGTAAGAAGTTCAGGAAAGCGAAAGTAATTTCTTTTTCCCTAATACTTTATACCCTACTAGTTATCTTAAACTTCACTCCAAGACATAAATTATTGAAATCACTCGTTTGTGGAACAGTCATATGTTTATATTTTTTCTATCAAAAACGAGGAATAACTTAAATCCCCTCATATTCTAAACTATTTTTTTTGTAAAAAAAATAGTTGGCGTAGAGACCTCAATCATTTCATAAATAAATAAATATCTAATGAATAAGCTAATTTCCGTTTACAATAATCTAAAAATCAGCTATGATTATTGTTTTATCATTAAGACGTATCTAATCAATTTATATTCAGTGGTTTTTCATTTAATAATGAATGTCAATTGCATATTTGATTATTAAAACAATCAATAGATAGACTAGTGTTAATTTATTAATATCAGCTGATTGTATCATATGAATAGTCGTTTTAATTTATATTTAAAAGAAATACAAAATAATAAATATGATTGAAAAGTGCATTCAATGACTAGTAATTAGGTGGAATTAAGAAATTATCAAAGTAAAAACAAGATTCGTAGGTCGAAACAAATTCTAGTGGTTAAGTGCTCGCGCACGAAACCAGTAGGTCCTGGGTTCAAATCTCGCAGGGGGCGAGGTCGTGTATGCGCACTGTTGAGGAATCCCACAATAGGACGAAACGGCCGCCCAGTGCTTCCAGGTTTTCCATGGCGGTCTAGCTTCAACTGACTCATGATCTTAACCATTGAAATTACATTTTAGATGTACAAGAATGAATTAAAAGTAACATAAAAAAATAAATAAAATCTGTGAGAATCTATTAAAAATACTGAAGAAAAACAAACTATCTAGTAAATAATTAATTGAAAACAAGGCATCAAAATGGTTTGTAATCTAAGGAATAATGATAATAAAGGGATCAATTCAGCAAAACATTACAAAAGATTAATTGATAAACGTTATTTAGGAAACATTACGGTTAGAATGGAAAAGTGGATGAATATTGGATTTTAGAAATGTGGAAAAATTAATAACGCAGAGAAGTCAACATGAATCTACTAAGGTAATTCTAAATTAACCACTTGAATAAAGAGAAATTAGCGAAAATTTTATTTTCGACAAAACCATTTACTTAAGTTGTATATATGGTTGGAAGAAAGTTAGGAGCGGTCAAACCAAAACGTGGCATCAGTACTTGAAGTCACCAACTTCTAGTCTGAGCCATGTTGGTAGATGCAGACTACTTGGTTGGGGTCCACGTGACTATCGTAAACAATGGTTGGAGACTCTTGGTGACATGGCTCAGAATCGATCACAATGGCGTAGGTGTATACACTCTCTGCCTTCCCTTAAACTAAGAGATTAAAATCGCTCCATATCTTTCCTTCTACGAACTAACTATTTCTTCCCGTACTATATCCTTATATGCAATTTTTCTTTTATATATTACCACCTCTGAATTAACTACTTTTATGAATCCGGTGTCCATCTTGTTGTGTTAATGAGGTATGGCAACTTGGACCGATGCATATATGTGCCTGGTCCTACGTTGGTAGCTGACTGGTTGATATTCGTATTTACAGTTACGAATCGATTCTTACACTATATTAAGTTTAGATGCATAATGACTTAGTAAAGGGTGTGAAGATGGGTCCTTGATTTTGTTGTAAGTTATTTACATCATTTTCAGAAATTGACGTATGAACTCGTTAGATCAATAGTTATGCAGTTTAGTAACCTTACTTTGTGAACCATTGAGCATTTAACTTGCCTGTTGACTGAATTATTGTCGACATTTCGCTTGCTTTGAGTTGCATGTTGGTTTAGTTATCCTATCCAATCTTATTAGTGATATAAAATACAGTATTGTGGTTTTAGCTTGATAATAGACGTATCAGTAGTGTCTGGCTTATTAACCACTGTCAAGCAGCCTCGAGCGGTAGTTTTTCGGAGTTAGACCAACAATCGCATAGTAGCAACTACAAGAGACAATAGATTAGCAAATAAAATAGCTTCCAAACCAGGAGGTCGCACGTTAGAACATTCATCGCGATACTTTGATTCGGGCAGTGAGGTGACATCACTGATCCTTAAACAAGCAGCGGGACTCAAAGCCAAATTAAGTGCTCTGTACTTGCTATATGAGTTGCAATTGTATCACTTTCGGCTTCTAGATCATTCACCTTAATAAACATATCTACCTACGTATTTTGTAATGCTCAGTAGTTCTTCCCATGAATCAAATTAATCAGTCTCATAAAGACTTTAGAGGGAAAAGGAAGTCCATTAAAGTTGAGATCAAATGGTAAGACCAAACAAACCCATTTATGATCACCATACGCCAACAGAGACAGACAGATTGCAATCCTTAACAAAAATCAAACATAATTGGAACAAAGACATTCATTAAGCAATCAGTTTTGTTGGTGTCACAATATATCAGCGTACATCCGAAGTTTGGACGGATAACGCGATATACCAAGGTCACATGGTAGTGAGAATGACGGTGACCCATTGGAAGTCAATGAATCACCTAACCATTACCATCCAACAAGCACATTCCTATCCGGATTAGCCTAGTACTTTATATGTATAAATGACTCGTACATATAATCCTTTGGGCTTTTCAGACATTTTTAATTTCCTTCCTTTCCATATTTAGTCAAGCAAGAGTCTAGGAAGGATTAAGCATTAACCAAAACTGATGGGAGAACATGATAAGCATTTGGAAAACTGAATCACTTACAGGCAGGTAAAGATACTGAATACTTATTGAAGTAGGTTTTGTGGTTAGTTGATACACGGACGAAGAATCGGTCCAGTGCACTCTAGTGATGAATACCACCTCGATATTGAAATCTTTCCAGTATTTAGCCAACTGGGGCTAAGTTGTGTTATAAGATTAAGGTTTTCTATCATATCCAGGAGATAGAAGTTGTGTCTAGGCTCAATACAAATAAGTACACACATAATTACCATATGCCAACTCAGAGCATTATTTTGATGTGATACTATCCCTGAAGAACTAATATGACGAGAACTTTCAAAAATAACCGAGATGCAAAAACATTGGTGGGCGGATTTGACCATATAGACTGAAAACATCTTGACTGGTGAAAACCAGATATTTGATAGTACAACTTGCTGACTGACTTTAAATAAACTTTGAAGGACCAGTCACTGCCAGGGAAGTCCTACTCACTGCCCTCTCGAGGTGGGGGTGTTTACGAAATTTGAAGGACAAAATGCGAATATCCAGAGCTTTAACCGGGTCGGTGGACACGGAGGAAGTTGGGGAACTGATCCCAAACTAACGATGCACATGGGCTCCAACATCCTAAGGAAACAAATGGCGTATGAACCTATTTTTGGGACTGTATCTCCTGACGTTTCTCCACCACCTTGTAGACTGGACCTTTGGATCAAAAGCTCTGGTTGTGGCCCCTTAAATAAACCACCTGCGTCAGTTTAGACTCTTAGGCAGTATTCCAGCCCTCACACAAACCGGATGACGAAGGGTTGAGCATATATATCTAGTGCCTCCTTGAACCAATGTCTGTGTTTAAATAAATAAATATAGGACCAGATGAAACCAGTGAACCTCTGGTATGAGCAACTTACTGATCTAATCACGTCTCCGATTTTTAACTTGATTGTAATACATTTCTTTCCTTATTAAATTTCCGAGTCGTCAAGTGTAATAACCTGAAATGATTCACTAGGGTTTAAAAAACCCAGCAAATCATAAGGAACACTTGATATAGAATGAAACGTTTAGTTAAAAACACACAATCAATTTAAGGGAGAACTTTATTGGAGTGTGAGCCAAAAGACTACACCGACATCATATTATCGATCTACTTTAAATAACACACCGACAGTCAAATAAATTCACTCAAATCAAATATTCAACCTTGTCGAAATAAATTGAAAAGTTTGTAAGTTGGCGACCGTACTAACTGGTCGGAATCAAAAGCAATACAGCAAAATGGGTAACACGATATTATTTTACAGAAGATTGCGCATAGACGAGATAAAATACAAATCATGAAATCATAAGATCAATGGAGCTTTCAGCATATTTTTGCTCAAAACTGAATCCTAGAAATAATTAAATTTCAGCATAGAGAGAGAAAGCGTGAGGATATAGTTGGATGATTCGATGATCAAACATTTGAAGTAAAATAACAACATATTACAATGATATTCATGAGTTGACGAGTGGAATGAATGTCGTAAACATTTTATCGAAGAGAGAAAAACAATACATTTTAGTTACACAAACGGCTCCAATAAATCATTAAACAGTAATGTAGATTATAAATTTGTATGACCCATAGTTATGTAAATCCAATGCAAGTAAGGAAGTATGTAGCATACTGGGTAAAAATAACATAGCACATGACAGTTTGATTCGAGATCTGAAGATCAATTAAATTCTCCAACAGGAATTACAGCAACCCATATACGTAAAATTGTGACCAATAAGACTACAAAGCAAAATCATTAGTTGAAACAAACTGAACATGCAAAATAATGACGTAAAAGACTGGAGGATTGAAGAAACTTGTGATATACCCATGTTATAAGAAAATATTGAGTGGACGAATCAGGACTATCTACAACACTGTCTTTGTTGTGTAGGCGAATCGTTTGGCGTAAGCTGTTGTCCCCCAGATGGTCTAGATGGTTCTGTATGATTAAGTAACTCCCGAGCTAAAATCGCAAGCAAGTTTACAAGGGTAGATAAATTACAGAGAATTAAAATGGAAACATTTATCAAAGTGAGACTAATATACAAACAAAAAGTTGTGATTTGCTGCATCACAAAATATCTCTATTGAGGCATCTAAAAAACCTTAGCTTATAATGCACTTCATTTCTGACTGCTAAATGTTCCTGAAGTAATTGTCTAAATCATCTACAACCACTAAAACATTAATAGCAAAAATGAGATTTGTAAGAGTCAAGATTAATGCCATATGAATGTCGAAACACTAAGGGAATCATAAAACCCTAGAAGATAAAAAAATATACCTCAGTTAAACATCAGATGTTAGAAAAATAATAATATAATACAATACAAATGAGATAAAACTGTTATTCACCGAAATATGAACTGTTAGAAATTTCACGGAAACACTAGATTCTCATGTAAATGTTTGCAAATTTGGCATTCAGCTACATACTATTATTGATAGTTAACAATATTAACCGGCTGCTCAAACTCTAAACAGTGCTGTTACTTTCGAACCAGAAGTCCAGTGAAAGTTCAGTCCTTCAACTACTAAACTAATCATTCATAGCGACAATATAAGGAAAATAATATCGATTGAAAAGACAACGCAGAACGTTAAAGAAAAGAATGGGAAAAGATTAAAATAACCTGCCTAAAAGCAGATTATTGGTCGATATCAAAATTATGCGTAAGGAGAGATAATATCAAAATGTTATTCAGAATTTCTGTAAACATCTTTATTAGTACTAGATTAAGCGTCTTATCAAATAATCAGTAACTAGTTTAACGATTCCACTACTTAAATTTCAGCTGAAATCAAAACTGATTTTTTACCGTTATATTAAGCTTAAGCAGACTATAGTGATACAAATGCAAACCTAACTCCGCCTGTAGCTCTCCTAGGGTTACTGCAAGTCACAAGCCTTTGTAAAGAGGGAAGATTGAGTATGGGATCAGCAACCCCATCCCGTAGAAAACAACCTTGCTAAAAAGACGTTAAATAGGATAAACAAATTAAACTACTTAAATTCTGTCCTCTGAGTTGAATGATCTTCTTTCAGAAGAACCATGACGCCTCATGATGAAAGCCGAGATTCTTAGGAAATCACAGTACCGATCCCCCTTCTAACAACCAGAGTAACAATTTGGAATGTTCGGATAATGTTGGAGACCGGGAGGACCAATCAAATAGCTGTGGAAATGAGGAGATATGACTTGACAGTACTCGGAATCAGTGAAACCCATTGGACCGAATTTGGACAGAAGCGATTAAATTATGGAGAGATGGTGCTACATAGCGGCGTTATTTGCCGACTCTGCGACTGGTTGGAAGAAGCGGAGAGGTGGTCAGTGCATGACATGGTGTCGTGGTATGAAAGAAAGCTGCAAAGGACTGGCTTCTGTCGGTCCTTCACGACTCCCTGGTTGGGGTCTGAGAGATGGTGCTACACAGTGGCTAGAGACGTTATCAGATATGGCTCAGAATAGAAGCCAGTGGCGATCCTGCTGTAACCTTCTTTTACTTTCTTCATAAAAAGTGGTTGTATCTCCCTTACCTGAAAGATTTCTTCTGATTGTACCTTTTCGTTTCCTCGTTACTACCACACTACTTTACACCAATCTCTTCGTTATTGTTCTCTTTTTTTCTTTTGCGCTCCTTAGTTTTTTTTTCTACTTCTCTTCGAATTTTCATTCTTTTGTGTGGCGCATATATATTGGCGCTCTCTTGTACCAATATTCATGTGTTCAAATAAATAAATAAATAAATAAGTAATGGAGATACTACTGTACTCTGTTCACGAAATGTTCCACACACTCAGGGAGTTGCTATGATACTGTTCAAAGAAGCATGTAAGGCATTTTTTACGATGGGAATCTCATGGACTCAGGACCATCAAAGCATCTTTCGAAACAAAAGAAATCACAATGAGTGTTGTCCAATGTTATGCACCCACCAATGATAGCAACGACGATGATAAAGATCAGTTTTACGAGATGCTGCAATCGATCCTAGCGAACTCTTCAGGAAAGGACCTGAACATCCTCATGAGAGATCTAAACGTCCAAGTCGGAATGGAGAACACTAGGTATAAAGACATCATGGGACGACATGGACTGACAGGAAATTTATTGGCAATTCAAAAACTTTATTCCTTATGTGCTTACTAGTACCATCCGAATCTAGCGCAAAAACGAAATCTTCGAATACTCAACTGATATCAATATTATTAAGGAATCTATTTCCATTGTTGCTAGCTTGACGTGGTGGTCGGGCTTGCCTATCGTGATGAAGCAACCGGGCTATATTGGCTGAAACAACCGTTACTCAAGGTCCTACCATGTCAGACAGGTCGGTTGAAGAGCGGTAAGACTAAAAGCAACAAACCCAAGGTCCGAAGGCGAAGTCGTACTGCTGACTGTATAGAGGTGACCTGCAAGTCTAACTTCATGATATGCAACATGCTCACGCAAATTTATGAAAATTACCTATGGCAGTGAACAGTTCGGAGACATTAGTTGCAATTTTGGCTGACGTCTCCATAAATAGTAATCTATTTTTATCGGCGTATTCTTGTGCTTCCTAAAAAATGTAAAGAAAAAAACTAATTAAACTTCTAATATACAGAATACTGAACAAAACTAGGAAACCCTTTAAAAGTGGAACCTCTTAGAAGCATTGTTGTACAATGCTTGTAAACTACGTTGAATCAGGAGTTTAAAACACGAATAAATCTAACATGTATGTATGCTTAACGACACAACAGTTTCGATATGTTAATGCTCACAAAAAGTGGACAGCTCAAAAAACTTACGTATAAACCAAAAAATGTTCAAAACTTTTTCGAGTTACATTTAAATATTCAGATGACAATTGAAATTTTACAGATTTAATAACCAGGAAATTGAATATTTTAAAACCACGCCCGAAGATAAGAGAATAACAGCATATTTATGGAACTGAGAACATATATACGTTATGTATGAAAAGAGCTCAAACCACATTTTTAAGGATAATAGCGATTTGATGACGATGAAAATCCATGAGACAGGAAAGATGTGTACATTTATAAAAACGTTTCACTTGCTGAATCCCGTACCTACGTTTTTTCTAGTATCCATTACTACCACCAACAGCATATGTCATGTCTTCAACAGCTGCTTGAACGTTTTCTTATTCTATAACAGCTATCCACTATATAAGCTTGGGTGCAATAAACATGCAGCTGGGAAAGTTACTTAATAATGAACTCGAAGAAGAGTATAAATTGTTTTATGAATAAACAACATTGTTTCCGAAATTCCACCCTAAAATTGATTCAAGAATTGTCTAGTCTCCAAGTACAGTGATGAGTTAAGCTAGTGAACTCCGATCGGATTGGGAAGAAACATCAAGCAGTAATAGATAGCCGTGATATTATGACTGATCCTTAATCACTCTAACTTTTAACCATTGATTTCTATCATATGAGGTAACAAACAAGGCAAATCTATAACATCTCACAACTTAGGTGGGTAATCAGTGAGTGCGTTATCAAATAATGTTTCTTGATACGACCAGGCCTAGCTGTTTATCAACATAATCATACTTCATTCGTCATCGCTCATGTTGGCGAATGGTTACTCATCACATACAACATACAAACGCACACCAACTGACTTGTTCTTCTTGCAGCCACATTCCGCAATCCTAGGAAAACAAGTGAGTACTGTAACTTGAATAAATTCTTCATTCCCTACACCATATATTACAGATATCGGGTAGCAAGGTAAATTTCTGCAAGATACTGTTTTTTAATTAAGTCAGATATCTCATCGGTGGAACAAATACCTTCCGCAATTACTGTCACATCCTGAAGCATAAGTGTACTTACTACTGACACTAGTCAATTGGTTAGCCTCAGGGTGGCATTTAATTTTATCAATCGAGACTCCGTAAAAGATCCCGTTTGAAGGGGGAGGACCTAACAACCACAATTAATTATTAGGAATTAACTTCTAAATGCAGGACAAAGTTGTAGAACCTAGTACAACTGTTGACCCAAGTCACCACCCGCTACATCAGCATTCCAAGATGAGGTTAACAGAATGGAAAGTATAGTGAGGTTAACTTTAATCCAATGGAAAGCTAAACATGAGAAAGTTAAATCGACTGCATACTGAAATGAGACAAACAAAAAGACTAGCAATTAAATGGAAACAACTGCATCGATTGTATTAAAGTGTTAAACAGGGAATATAGTTCAAGGAGTGAAATAAAAGGGTAGAAAGTACGATTACTGAAACTCAAGATTCTCCATGTGCATGGACTTACGTTACACTAAATACTTGTAGAATCGTATGAATTACTTTTGGTAAGTAGTGTTTAGATACTTAAAGTACTAAGTCAGTGGAAAACTCGTGAAAGTTAGAGGTTTGAACACATTACCTCGAACGAAACAGCTCGCTGTCCTTCGAGATCCACTTTGTTTCCTGCAAGTGCAATCACCCCACTAGTATTTGCTTTTTCTTGAAGTTCATTAACCCAGGATTTTGCACGTTCGAATGAGTTCTGGTTAGTAATATCGTAAACGACAACTGCCGCCTGGGCTCCTCTGTAGTACATAGGGGCCAAACTATGATAACGCTCTTGTCCTGAATTTAAAGGAAATTGTAGATTTCAATAGCCAATACAGAAAATTATAGCTAGTCAGACATGTGTGTATATATTAATATTTGATTATTTATGTAACCATCTATTATCTGTAAGGTCACAGGTTCAAGTCCTAGGTCCACCAAGCTACTTACTATAAGCTGATGGCATTAGCACAAAACCCGAAACAAGTTGATGTTACGAAGCTAGAATTACTTACCAAGCATAGACTTATTATTCATACTTTAAGCTACATCTTATGTCAGGGCCAGTGATAATATCTGTTCCCCTCGATGGAAGTAGATGGGGAGGAGCTTGAATCTACAACACACTGGCTGAAAGGTTATTGCTTCTACGTTAGTACTCTACTATTAAATTTAATACGTGGAAAGTAAGCGTGCTTTAAAGGTGTGCTCCGTTGCCTCAGTTGAATCTAGATGGCAGAATCAGTCTAATGCTTCAATTCTGTTACACTTATAGGATGGATGTTTTAACAATTTTACACTTCTAGTTTCTATGTGCAGCAAGTGAAGGCAAACCAAGAAGGCACTTTGACGTTAATCACCTCACCTCTTGGAATAAGGGGTTCAATAAGCTAAGGTAGATACATCTTGTGCTGATTTCAGATAACTTGCTTTAGTGTACAGAAATCCTGATATGTTCAGCTAAAGGGAATCTCCCAAAAAGATAAATATACGAGCAGCTCGTTAAAACTAACGCTGACATGTAGACACAGAGTATGGAAGTAGATCAGCTGAGCTGTCAGTCACACTACCCTTCTTATTATAAACATCTGACACCAACTGCACTTGCCATCAGTTAGAAAAACAGGACCTCAGAAATCAGTGTGGGCTACATATATGTGAGTAGAAGTATCAAGACACGAACCTAGCATTAGAGTACTGCTGCTTACCTCAATGAAGTGTGATACGATTGTATATACCTACTGATGATAAACATCATTAAACAGATGTGGTAGTGTGATCTACTTAATTTCTAGAAGATAAGACTTTGATATACTCAACTGTCAGTACGAGTCGCAACCGTGATACGTATACAGACAACGCTAAATTTAGTAAATCCATACAAAAAAAGCCACCAAGGTTGCGTTTCTATTTGCCATTCATTTAAGTCAAATTCTCCGAGTGATTGAAAATAATGTAGATTAATTAGAACCATTGACAATTCTTCCCCATGTTAACGAATAAAAAGCCTCACCGTAATGGTTCCCAGAGTACACTATTTGGATAACTCACTTATCATGTTACCTACGCTTTACCAACCTAATGGTGCTCCATACATAAACTACCCTAAAGCACACCGCTCTGCCCCCAAATGCCCTGGTACGGCCGAGAGGGGGGAGAGTTAGCTCTCCATATCGAAATGCTCTCACATGGCCACGTGCACACAACCACTTTCAAGGAAGTCCTACTTACTGCCCTCTCAAAGTGGGGTAGCTGTTTACGAAATTGAGGAAACAAAGAGCGAATGCCCGTGGCTTTAACCGGGTTGGTGGATACGGAGGGTCAACCTAGGGGAATCCGGGAACCCTTATTCCAAATCAATTGTGCACATGGGCTCCAAGATCCTAAGGAAATAAACGGCATATGAACCTATTGTCGGTCACCAGCCACTATAGGACTGCATCTCGTTACGTTGCCCCACTGTCTTGTGGATTAGACCTCTGGGACAAAGGCTCTGGGTGGGGCCCCCTAAGAAAACCACCCGCTTCGGTTCGGGCACCCGGACAGTATCCCAGCCCTTACATAAATCGAATGATTCATGTGGCTCATATCTAGTTGGTGCCTCCTTGAACCAATATTTGTTTAAATAGATAAATACCCTGTATTAATAGACACTAAACATTACTAAACGGTCACGAAACAAAACAATGGTCTCGAGCCTAATGTGGTCCATAAATTAATATATCCTTTATTTTCTATCTATTTCGGGTTAGGGAAACTGAAAGGTCAGGCCTCGCGTTTAAAAGCCAAAGGACCTCATAAATACTGAACACATGCTTTCTAAGCGGCAACCGACTCTTGTACCCACTCCTAAAAGTTTGAGCTTAATTTATTCATCTACGTTTAGGTTTAAGCATATAAAAAAGTGCACTAGGAATTTATTAACAGGTTTTCTGGCTTATCCTAAAAGCAAGTAATCTGACTTCCCGAACGTGATATGCTAGTGACAGCCTGAACACTACTGGAGCCCCAGAATAGACACTCATTCAGTGATCACGCGAAAACTGACTTCTTAATTTTAATTTATCATTTAAGAACTGAAAAACAACTAACCAGCAGTATCCCAAATCTCAAACTTTACGGTTGCTGGAGGATCATTTAGGACGATCGTCTGTGTCAAATAGGCAGCTAAACGATTAAATCAGGTATTAAAAACCAACCCCCAATAGTAGCTTCTTGGTACTCACTAAACTGACACTTTACGAGTCTCAGGACTATGCTTGATTTCCCAACAGCTGATTCTCCAAGTATCACCAGTTTATGGGAGCTTCTGTTTGCCATCCTCAAGGACTACAAAGTACTTTACAAACAACCTAAAACTGTTCATATAGTTGGAAACAATGATAATATGAACAAACCAACGTCTAATAATCAAGCTGAAAGACGGAGTGAAAAACAGCAGTTCCGTTGGTAAAATATTAAGCCGCCAAAAGGTACGGACCGATGCGTTAAAACAGACGGTACAAATGGCTCTGGATGAAGAACAAGAAGCTCCCTTCCTAATGTGCTTCTCTATCTGGTAGCAGTGAATCAACGATGCCCTCGTGTAAGAACATGGGTATATTCAACGATAAAAAGTTGAAGTTAGACATTAACACCGTTGAATGCCTGCTCAGTTGTCTAGTTGGTTCAAATGGTTCAAATGGTTGTGGACGGAATAGGAGAAGCTTTCGTGTCTAGTAGCGGGAGATCACCAATACCTCCAGGCAGGAACCTAGGTATGTTAACAATAAAAGAAGAGAAATAAATTGGTAAGTCATAGTGCGATACTATCCTTAATCCTTAAGAATAGATCGAGTTGCCTCTTAAAGGACTCCTGGGAAGTCGCTTGAACTAGCTTGGCCGGCGGCGAATTCCAGCATTTGACAACTCTTAAGGAGTAGAAGTTGTGTCTACAGTCCATTCTGCTATGTTGTGTCTTCCGTTTTTGGGTGTTACCCCTTAGGTTAGTGTTGGAACTAAGCTTAAGTAGGTGTTTAAGAGGATGTCCAGAAGTGTTAAGGACACTGTACGCCATCAGAAGGTCACCTCCAAGACGTCCATACTCTAATGGTTAAAGGTTAAGTGATTGGAGGCTCTCCTCATAAGGTTTAAACTTGAGTCCTCGAACTGATTTCGTGACTCGCCATTGGACATGTCGTAGATGGACTACTTTACACTTTGAAGTGTTAAAAGTAAGTCCATTAGTGTCTGCCAAACTTTGAAGTCAAGTCAGATCATCCTGAAGTGCTTGTATATCGTCTTGGTTGCGTATCTCTCTCCAAAGTTTCACGTCGTCGGCAAAGAGTAATAAGTCTGACGATACCTGTTGAGGAAGATCATTAATGTAGATCAAGAAGAGAAGAGGTCCTAGTACTGAGCTTATTGATATGACATGTATGGTTAACCTAATCAAAAGCTTTTGAGAAATCTAGGTAGATTATATCAACCTTCCCCTTGTGATCGACGATGCTTGTCCATCTGTCCACCGCATTCAGCAGGTTGGTTATACAAGAGTAACCCTTCCTGAAACCATGCTGTTGGAGTGAGAAAAAATTTAAGGACAGTAAATAGTCATTTATACCATCGCATATCAGGGACTACATGACTTTTTGAAGGCATTGAGAGAAGAGCCACCGGTTGGTAACTTGAAGGTTCGCTGCCTCGACCTCCTTTGAAAATTGGTGTGATGTGAGCCAGCTTCCAATTTTCCGGTGGTTTACCTCGGCTTAGCGAGTGTGAGGACATCACGCAAAACGGCATTACCAGGATTGAGGCTGCTTCCCTCAGTATAGCAAAATGAACCATATCCGAGCCAGGAGAAGTGCCAATTATTAAGTGCTGCAGTTGCCGGAACACCAAGTCAGCGCTCAGGTTCGCCTCGGAAAGTCCTGTGCAGTAGCAAATGAAGCTTTCGTTAGTATAGTTTATGTGGGTCGGTTGAAATGTCCGAGAGTATTACTCAGCCAAAAGGTTAGCGGCATCGCCGGCGTTATTGGTCGAGTCATTAGGACCTTGCAGCTGGGAAGCTCAGGTTTCGGCTTGTCGAAGAGAGGCTGCATAATGGAATAAGCTTTTCGAATTGGAGACAAATTTATCCAAAAGCTTTATCTGGTACTGGAGCCTATCTTCTCTTATACCCTTCGGGCATATGTTCCTTATATTTTTGTATTGATTGTGCGTCCCATTGTTGTCAGTTCGTTTGTATTCTGCCAAATAGTGCCTTTCGCGCCTTAGCAGGCGAAGAGTGCGATTCTTGATGATTGTAGGTTGCTTGTAGCTTTTGGGGACCGATTGAGGAACTGCATGCTTTGTAGCACATAACAGCGTTTGCAGTAAGAAGTCCCAATAAACATCCACATCGAGTTGAGGGTGAACATCCCAATCCACCTGTTGTAAATTGTCCTGTAGAGCTGACACATTCAACCGCTTGAAATTCCAGCGCAATTTGTTGGTGTGGTATCTTAGCTCAGCTTTGCTGACAAAACTGAAAGCTATAACGGCGTGATCCCTTTTTCCCAGGGGAGCCAGGATTGAGAGGTTGTCAACTAGGAACTCTTCGTTTGCAAATACACAGTCTAAGCGCAATGGTGTCTGACTGATTCTCCAACGAGTTGCCGACTTTACATCTTCGTATAATTCCAAGTCCTCAGTGGGGTTGAGGAACCGAGCTTCAGTTTAGTTTTCGTCTCCAATGTACGTATGTTCCGCGAAGTTGACTCTAGGGAGATTGAAGTCCCCTAAAATCAGGATATGAGTGAAACCGAGACGAGTAGAGAGGGATAGTCCTTCCAGCATACGACTGTCGTACTCGATGTCGGCGGTGGGCTTCCTATATATGACTCCGACTAGACATCTCGAAGTAGCAGACAATCTTACAGAGCACCATATAGATTCCTCAAGATTGTTAAACTTGTGGTTATGAACTTGGTGTACCTCCAAGCAAGATCGTATGTACACGGCTACCCCACCCCCAATTCCTGTTTTTCTGTCGTTGCGAAACAAAGACATCCCAGGTGCTGCTAACTCCTGGTCCGAGAACTGAGAAGCTATCCAAGTTTCAGTTATTCCTATCAGATGAGCCTTATTAGTGTTGCTAAGTTCACGTAGCTCATCCATTTTGTTTGGTAGACTCGCGGCGTTCATGTATAAGCAGTTTATGCTTTCAGTTTGAAACGCGTGAGCTTCTTCCCGTTTGTCTATACGTGAATGGACAGTTAGCCTACCTATATGAGGTTTGCCGAGTTTGTAGACCCTGTCCTTTACACGTTTTTTTTATCATCGAGACAGTCCACAAGTGGAATGGTCAGCTCCAACTTGCTTTTGTGCTTGGTCCTAGCTTCATATAGCCTATCCGGGTGCATGTGGTTTCCAGCTGGCAACCGACGTCTGTTGACACGGAAAGCCTCCAGAGTTGAAGCCGCCATGTGAGAGGATGGGAACGTTATCTTCACTAGCCGGGGTCTGGAATCACCGTCCTTCTTGGCTAGTCTCGTCACGTGTTGAGTCGGTACAATTTTGAGCCTCAAGGACTGTCTGATGAATTTCCATTCCCTGTTATCGGAGTTTGCTTGGTTAGGGTTCGTGTTTTCCGGTACCCCTTGCACAATTATATTCCTTCCGCGGAAAAACTTCTCACGAGATCCTTTTGGGATTTTCCGGATGAGATTGCGCTCAGAATACGGTATGTCAGAAAGTATTTTTACATTCCCATCTGATTTCAGTAAATGACTCGCTAGCAAGACATCCTCTACGTCGGTAGCATTCTTAAGTGTTACAAGAAGTAGCCTCAGATGATTTTGATGCTTAGATTCCTTTCCCCGAGTGAGCCGTGTGACCGTCAAAGGCTCTATTCTTGGAAGTTCAAGTTTCTTATTCACTTCTCCCAAGAGCATCCTGTCATTATTGTCCTGCAAACTGAGAGGAAGGTCGGGGTTGTCTTTGAGGTTCATGATTATGAGAGACATCACGAACCGTTATTTTCGTCCCAGGTTTTCAGTGCGTTTAGGTTTAGCACCTTGTTGTTTGGAAGTCGAAGCACGTTTATGAATCCTAGGCTCTTTGATGACCGGACGGACATTCTTGGGGGTAGACTGTGCGGTCAAATCACCAGTTGATTTCCGTACAACAGCTGGGATGTTCAACTTAGACTGTGACGCCTGGTCCTTTTTAGTTCTTTTGACATGGATCTAATCACCTACAGAGTTTTTAAGAACTACTGTCGCGTTCAAGGACCTTGAGCTGTGAGACCGGAGATTACTGAGGGAGTCGAGTACCGTCGACGTAATGATGGTGCTGAGTTTCAACATGTCATCATTAGTGCTAATACATGCTCCACCGATGGTATACCTGTCGACATCCCTATTCTTGTTTTCGTTGCGCGCCCTTGTTTGTCTACCAGTTTTATGACTGTCATTTTCCAAGTTTACTGACCTGTCAATAGGACAATGATATTATTCAGCGAAACTACAGCATCCGTGCTGCACGTAACACATTCTCACTTATGATCCGACTTGCTGAGTCTGTTGTAAGCAGTTGCTGTGAGATCTGTGCACGCTTCGTGGAACCGACCTTTGCAGTTGTCGCACTGCATGCCAGATGTAACAGCAAAACGGCATCTAGGTCGTTTGCATGAATTTTTGATGACTGTATTGACGTAAACTGTGTTGTAGATGCTAGCAAAAGCCTAAGACCGTAAAAATACACTAAAAAGCACACTGAAAACGGACAAAAATGGATAAAAACAGATGAGATAAACTGAACTAGCCTTTACGTGAAAAACCAAAAATAACGAATAGTAAGCTGAGGCAAAACCACAGTTAACTATTAAATCGGGTGAAACTCAAAAAAGTAATCAACCGAACGTACAGCTCAGGATAGATTCTTCTGATCAGAAATGGTCATTTTGTTGCGTAAGAACACAGCAAAATTTTGATAAATGCTGATCACATTAAGATGTTACAACAAGAAGCTCTCCCCTAATGCGTTTCTATATCTGGTAGCAGTGAGTCAACAATGCCTTCGTGTAAGAACATGAGTATATTCAACTATAAAAAGTTGAAGTTAGACATTAACACTATTGGATGCCGGCTCAGTGGTCTAGTTGGTTTAGCCCCTGGCGTGAGACTGACAGGTCCTGGGTTCGAATCCCGTGAGGTGGGGTCATGGATGTGCACTGCTGAAGAGTCCCACAACAGTGCTTCCATGTTTTCCATGGTGGTCTAGCTTCAATTGACTCATTATCTAAACCGTTCAAAATTACTAGAATCTCCACAAAACCCCTTCTGATACTAAAAAGAGAAATGTCAGTAAATTATAGTTCAGTTTCAGTTTCATTTTGGAAAGGACAAAAGGCTAGGTGGCCTGTGTTAGTCCCGGAAATGGTCGTCTCTCAGTTGGTTAGACATTCTTTTGAAAGATTTGACAGATGGAGCTTCAATCATATGTTTAGGTAAT